AGCAAGAGAGAGAGAGAGAGAGAGAGAGAGAGAGAAACTGACTGTTGAAATGCGGACCTGAGTTCGAAGTGGAATCCAGAGGGAACCAGATGGAACCAAATGAACAAAATTGAAAATTCCTCTATTTTTTGTTTTTGTTTTTGTTTTTTGTTTGTTTGTTTTGTTTGAAGCGCAAGGGAGAGAGGGGGGGGGAGAGGGGGCGGAATATTATAGCAGGGCAAAGAAAGTCGACCACATCCTAGGTCTCGGTCCAAACCTTCAGTGAATATGACCCACAGTTAACAGAACCCGTGATATGAAATGAACTCGAAGCAAAATTCCTAAACTACCTGATGGAACCAGATGAACAAAATTGAGAATGGTCAGTTCGATATCTGGAAGGCTGTTGCCCTTTTTTTTTTTTTTTCCCAAAAAAAGGCGGAAGAACTCTGATAGCAGAGCCTCGTGAGAACTCATGGGTTGTTGTAATTCTGAAACCACAGATTCAGCCAGCCTGGTCCTACTGCCAGGGTTGGCATAAGCAGCCCTCTGTAGTAGTTGTGGTTTTGATGGCTTCTGTCTATTGGTGGCGAGCTGCACCTGCTGGAAACCGGGTCCAGCGTCCCGATGCGCAACATTAAACCACCCGTAAATCCCTTAACCCGTGCCGGTAAACGAGCTGCGGCTTTAGGAAGCGTACCCGTCACTACAGCAGCCCCCAAGTCATCCGACTTTTTTTTTTTTTTTTTTTTTTTTAATAAACACACCCCCACCAGTGTTAGTGCTGCTGGCAAGAGCAGACACCACTAACACCTGGCTACAAACGTTTCTTCTCTATTTTTATTTTCTCCCGGGCCGATACGAAGTACTGGTGGTGGTTTTCTTTTCTTTTTTTTCTTTTTTCTTGAAAACCGGTCTTGCCGCTAGGGAGGGTGATAGCCAACAGTCAGTTTGATGAAATGTCCCCTTCGCAAAAACAAAACCCAAAAAGGGTCCCCTTCTATGCCCCTGAGCCCCTGTTTGGCTGTCAGTATCCCCCCCTCTCTAGCACCTTCCCCCGAACGTACCACAACCTGATAATGTGTTTATAAATTATAATAGCCATATTTCTGGTCAGGTACAGCCAAAATTAGGGTCTTTTGCGTCCAGGGGAAGACGGAGATGGTAGGTAGGAGTCTTCAAGATCATACATCTCTGCTGCAGTCAGTGCTCAACCTTGAAGTAGAAGAAGTAGAAGGGGAAAAAGAAGAAGAAGAAGAAGAAGTAGAATGGTTTCAACCTGTATTGCGGAAGTCGAGAACGGCCAGGCTGCTGGTCGTACCTGCCTGTTTTTCCGACCAGGTGCATCATAGCTGAACACAAATAAAGCACGGAGGATGCGACCTTCAAGCCTAGAGGAGGATTGCAGTTCAGTTTGTTAGGGTCAGGCTCCCGAGTCAATGCTGCTACTTCTGTGTTTTGAAAATTAAGGCGGACAAAAAAAAGAAAAAAAAAAGGGTGGACGCGGCATGTTTTGAAACCCTAAAGGCAAAAATTTGCGTGGGGAAACCAACCACGCACAGACTTGAAATGAGCAATTCGGTCGAAGAGTATCCGTTGGGCATTTTCTGTTTTTTTTTTTGTTTTGTTTTCCCCTCTGACACCATGGACCCCTGTAAATATGACACCCGCCGGTCTGACACCACGGCTGTCGGTACTTCCGTTGCCTTTTCAAACTTGGCACAGTTTTCTTTGCCGACATGAACGAACTTACCTCTTTTTTTTCCTTCTTCTTTTCTTTTTTGAAGTCCAGATTGCTGTAGAGGTTGGAAGCCAGACTATGACAGTCACCTTTCTTAGTCGGCCATCCGGTTATTCGGTCCCGATTGCATGCTTGTGGTCTAGAAAAGCATAATAAGTTAATAACCAGCCATCTTTTCAACAGGTTCCACATTTGCTGGGCATGAACAAAGGCCCAGTGCGGTAGTCTTAAACTAGAACTTGCACAATGTCGTGAAGTTAGCTGCTTTTGCTCAATTTGGCTCACATCTTGACGCTGCCACTCAATACATATTAAACCGTGGCGCGAGACTAACAGAAGTGTTGAAACAACCACAATATAGTCCAATCTCGATTGAAAAGCAAGTTGTTGTTATTTATGCGGCTGTCAAAGGTGATTTAGATCAAATTCAGATTTCTCAAAGGCATCAGTTATGCTATTTCACTCAAAGATTCAGTAGGTTGGGTAGCCTTTGCAATATTTTTGTCCATTTTTGTTTTTTATGCACCTAACGTATTGGGACATCCTGACAATTATATACCTGCAAATCCTATGTCAACTCCAGCTCGCATAGTGACAGAATGGTATTTTTTACCTGTTTATGCAATTCTTCGTAGTATACCGAAGAAATTAGGAGGTGTTGCTGCAATGGGTCTTGTATTGGAGCGCCTGATATGGCCTTTCCACGATTAAACAATATCAGTTTTTGGTTATTACCACCATCATTATTACTTCTTATAAGTTCTGCTTTAGTGGAAGTAGGTGCTGGTACCGGGTGGACGGTCTACCCACCTTTAAGCGGTATAACCAGTTATTCTGGAGGAGCTGTGGATTTAGCTGAGTACAGATCCGGGCCACCCGGCCGACCAGCGCCTGCCCGGGGGAGGTCCTGGGCGGCCTGGCCGGGCACCCCCAGCACACCTTGTTGGGGGGGGGGTTCCGACCCGGAATAGCCGAGTTGTGGCATCCTCAGGGCCTATCGGGTCCGACCAGGCCCAAAAAACGGCGCGTTGGGCCCGTGAGGCCAGTTTTTTTTTTTGAATTTGTGATGGCCGTCCGGCCGTCGATCATCCATGGTCGACGGCCAGAGGGCCGTTTGATTTTTGGAGGGAAAAACGAGGCCCCGTTTGAACAACCGACTGGCTGGGGTGGCCTGGCCGCCCTCGCTCCTCCTGCTGCTCGTTGTCGCCATCGCCTGGGAGCTACACTCCCCCGTCGTCATGGAGTCGCCCGTCGTCTGTCCTCAGCGTCGTGGAGTCGCCCGTCGCCCGTCTCCAGCGTCGTAGAGTCGCCCGGCAGTCGTCCCCCTCTCACCATCTTCTTTTTCTTCTTCTTCTTCTTTTTCTTCTTATTCTTCCTCTTCTTCTTCTCTCCTCCTCCTCCTCTTCCCACTATCTTCTTTTTCTTTTTTTTTTTTGTTCCATTCGTCAGCGATAGGGCGCGAGATAAACGACAGGTAAGAAAA